GGTTGGAAAAGACCTTTGAGATCATCAAGTCCAACCGTACCTGTCCACTACTAAACCAGATCTCTGAGCACCTCATCTACCCGTCTTTTAAATCCCTCCAGGGATGGGGACTCAACCACCTCCCTGGGCAGCCTGTTCCAGTGCCCGAGAACCCTTTCAGTGAAGAAATTTTTCCTGACATCCAACCTGAACCTTCCTTGGCGCAACTTGAGGCCATTGCCTCTTGTTCTGTCATTTGTTACCTAGGAGAAAAGACACTCACTTGCCTCACTACAACCTCCTTTCAGGGAATTGTAGAGAGCGAGAAGGTCTCCCCTCAGCCTCCTCTTCTCTAGACTAAACAACCCCAGTTCCCTCAGCTGCTCCTCATCACACTTGTGCTCCAGACCCTTCCCCAGCTCCATTGCCCTTCTCTGGACACGCTCCAGCACCTCCATATCCTTCTTGTAATGAGGGGCCTAAAACTGGACACAGTATTCAAGGTGCAGCCTCACCAGTCCCCACTATAGGAGAATACTCATCAGTGCTGAGTGTGCCTCCATTGGTGCAGGAGCTGTAACCTCAGGGCTGGTGTAGGGCTGTGGAATTCCAGAATGTAGCTGGGTTATTTTTTAGCCAAGTGCTGCAGAGATGCAAGGTCTATAACAAGCCAGGGATTAAGAGTCCAGAAAGGGCTTTAAAAAAAATGTCGATAATTAGACAAACTGGTCTATAAATGGATATGGAAGGGAATAGGACCTTTAAAACCTGTCGTACTTAAATACCTGTATACTCAGCTCCAACCCCGCCGAGTTACAAGCTGCTTTCTTACTCCCTCCTTCAGACCCCCGAAAGGCAACACTCCAGAGGGGATCTCACCAGCTCCTTTCCTGAGCTGCCACTAAACTGGGTGATCCCAGTTTAAGGCATGAATAGGGCCAGCACCGCACCCTCATGCTCCGCCCGTGTAGTGGGGACAACGGGATCGTGCTTATGGACACTCTGGCAGGGCTGAAGCTGCCCTTCCACCGGCTGTGCGTGATACGGGACTTGATTTGAAGAAGAAATGAAGGGGAAGGGTTGTATTTGCGGAAGACTGTAAAGCTGTGCTGCCAACAACCAGTCGTTAGGGGAGGCTGCTTTACAATTTTTTATTGTTTTAAATAACAGTATTTAACTTTATAGAGCTTTATTGTTAGCTTTTCCAGCCCTATAACCAGCAAGTAAACAAGAGGTGCTAAACATCCTTGTCCACCAAAACCTGCTTCTTCTATTAGCTCTACAATTTTCTTAGGAAAAGTATTTTTTCTGTCTTTTTTTGCGGGGAGAATAATTTGATTAGAGGGCAGATGGGTTGGGAAAGCCCACCCTGAGATGCCTTTTACTACGGGTGTTACTGGATTGTGTGTCATGTGCTGAAATAACCTGTTTCTCTCCGTATCATCTCTTTGGATTGGAAAGTCGCAGGTCCAAACACACCAGCCAGTTCAAAGTCAAGGGTTTGCCACATCCCACCTTTGCCATATCTGATCAATATGAGTTCAACTTCCCATACCCTAGTTTTTTTTGAGGTTGCAACTGTTAATTCAGGCATTTCTGAAATATGGAGCATCTGCTGATGGGGTGATGCGGGACCACAGTGATGCTGCCTATTTTTTCCTTGGGGCATCCCAGTGCTCCCACCCATCTTCCAGGTGCCCTGTACTGGGGGCACGGACAGCTTTTGCCTTTGACTCCCTGTGACCACATATACAGGTCAGAGCTCAGGTACTATTATTGTACATTCCTGAGCCACTGTCGGCACTAAATGAATATTTTGACTTCTCAGACTGCCGAAGACCTAGCACGGGTTCAGGTCCTGGGGGACTGAATGATGCACGGGGACAGGGAAGACTGAAAATCTTTAAAAAATGGGGTTTCAAGTCTTAACACATATAGGTTGCATTGTCATAGATTGCTAGAATGGTTTGGGTTGGAAGGGACCTTAAAGATCACCCAGTTCCAACCCCCCTGCCATCAGCAGGGACACCTTCCACTAGACCAGGTTGCTCAAAGCCTCATCCAGCCTGGCCTTGAACACTTCCAGGGAGGAGCAGCCACAGCTTCTCTGGGCAACCTGGGCCAGTGTCTCACCACCCTCACAGCAAAGAATTTCTTCCTAATATCTAATCTAAATCTCCCCTCTTCCAGTTTAAAGCTATCACCCCTTGTTCTGTCACTCCCTGCCCTTGTCCAAAGTCCCCCCACCCAGCTTTCTTGTAGGCCCCAAGGCCTTGTCACAATTTTTTGTTTTCTAAGAGATGTTACTAAATAAAATTTCTTGGCACTCTACTTGAAGAACAAACCTTGAAAGTTCGAATGGGGCAGAAATGGGAAGAGATCCTGACTGCTTGCTGAGATGTGGTAAGAGAAAGGGGGGGCAAAAAAACGTAACCAGCCCAAGCAAACAACCCACAAAACCATTGCTTTAGTGAAATCTAGCCATGAAACTAATTATTCTGGAGACCTGCTACATTAGCATCCATCAGGCTGGTGATGGGCATGGGCTACAGGAGACAGATGCAACCTGTGCTTCACCTTGTGTCAGATACTCAATGCTGACCTGAGCTGCTCCTCTTGCCTAAAAAGGACTGCTGAAAATACTCTTTTTTTTTTTTTTTCCAGGCTGAAAAAGTGAAGAACATAAGCAGCATAAAGTAATTTTTTGTTAATGTGCAGACAAGCGTGAAGATGGCCAAACCACCTGAAAAGATGGAGAACATGGTACTAATGATGACAAGAAATGGCACCCAAGGTTTTTCAGATGGAAATAATCACTTTATTAAGGTATCTGAAATGCTGAAGTGTACTGGGTCATGCTGGTACTAAAATGTGTCTGCAAGGGTGGAGCTGGGGGTGACGATGCCAAGCTCCACATCCACCCAAGCACCCCTGAGTGTGGGCAAGTTCTGATACAATGTAATTCTGAACCAAAAAGATGTGTCATTGCTATTTAATGCCCCATGAACATATTTTTTTGCTACTTTCAAAGCTTTCAAAGCTGTGTTGGTGTATCTGGGAAGGAGAGAGTGGTGGAACTGTATGGAGAAGAAAAACCCCTAAACCTAATGACACTATTTTATATATACTAGAGATAAAATATGCCACCATTAACATCTGAGCCGAACTTATCTAAATAATCACTGAAGCTTTTATTTATAGCCAAGTACTTTCATTGCTTCAGTGCCATTGACTTTTAATGGGCATAATTGTAATCAGTCATAGTAAGTATGTTAGGAAATAGCAATTTTTTAAAGTTTATATTTTTAAAAGTATTTAGGTTTGTTGTTTTTTTTTATTTTTGAAACTTTGCCCAATGATTAAAGCACTACACTCAAGCCTTTGAGTCACGAACTCTTTGAAGGGGCTGCATCAAACCCCAGCTCATGCTGTAACCCCGGTAAAAGCCATTCCCAAGCACAGATCCAGGATGGTAAGACGATGTCACCAGCGATGTCACTGTGCAAACATCACTGTGACCTGCAGATTGCCATTCAGCTTACGGCACCTGCAGCGTGGTGGGCACAAACGCCCCGGTGTGTTTAGGTGGCTTAAGGAGCATCAGTGTTTTCCCCTCTGGTCTGGGGCAGTTATGGCCATTGCACAGTCTGCCTGTATGCCACCCAGCCTTAAAATGCTGGAGGAAAGCTGGGGTGGCCCCTCGCCTGTTGAAGAGGAAAGCTCCTTTTTAATTCCTTCCCTCTAACTGGGGCTGTTTGCTCCCTCTTTTGCATCTTCTGTAGCTGGTTCAGCACCAGTTGGTACTTGCACATCCCTTCAAGATCTGCCCTTTAGGTTTGTACTCAGCCATCCCAGGTCCTCAAGGTCCCCAAGTAGGTGGCATTAACGTTAGACACCCCAAACACTAGTGAGCAGGTTGCATTTTAAAAACAAGATGCAGCACTGCTGGAGCATCCCTGGAAATAGGCCGTGGCGTCTCTAAAGCCACCCAGGATGTACTGCTTTGCAGTCAGATTTGGACTTTGGGTACAAAGTGCTTTTCAGTTGTGCAGGGAAGACTCCAGGATGGTTTTGAATCCCAAACACTATCCCTGGACTGGAGGGAGGCATGGGACAGAGATAGGTTTCCTGCCCACCAGCCCCATGCCACAGCCCCCCCTCCCTTCACACAGATTTACACCCACTTGCAATAGGAAGAGAGTACAAGGAAATAAACGAAGTAGGAAAGAAAAAACCCAAATGTTTGCTTGCAGCTTTCCCTCCCCGCAAACCAGCCCCAAAGGGACCAAACTCAGAGTAACAGGCTGCAAAGTAAAATGAAAATTAAGTCTTTATTGGAGCAACAATTATCCTGGTGGAGATGGCTGTGCTCCTCAGAGCCTGTCCCGTGGTCCAGCACAGCCCCTCTGGTGCTCCTTTGCTCTCTCCTCACCCCAGGGAAAAATCAAGCAGGAGGGTGTTTCGCTGCCAACTTCCCTTCCCAGAACTCTGACCCGGTGCCTGTCTCTGTCCCCGCGTCCTGTGGCTACCCCAGCACATTGTAATGCCTAAAAATCAGCTGAATAAGTAGTGATAACCAAACAGCCCTTACTGTGGGGTGCTGGCAATGAGCCACTCTACTCCCCCCTCTCTCTTTGGGCATTTACCCTGTCTGGGGCATATCTCCCCTCCCATGGGGCAGGAAGGGACGTGCAAGAGGCTTGGGTTGATTTTAAAGAAATCGGTTTATTCGCTTGCAAACAGATGGTCGCATCCCTTTGACCTAGATTTAAAAACCCAGTGTGTACAAAGTCACAGTCGCGGCTTGAAGAGCACAAGGCAGCACCCTCAGGAAAAAAAAAATAAGTCATTAAAAGTCCCGGCGTTATGTACAGCTAAGTGCCAGCTCGAGTATTCACAACACAGTAACGTACTGCAATTAGTCGCTTAAAAGTAGTTCCCTTAAGAAACAACCTTCCGCTCCGGCAGGGCCGGAGTCCGTCCCATCCTGTCCATCCCTCTGTCGGTCTGTCCGGCGATGCTCAGTGCCGCTGGCAGGTGTGCAGGCGGGAGGCGTCGGTGGGACCATGCTCTCGCTGGAGGCGGCATGCCAGCCCCTCGGCACACTGGCACCGCTGGAAGATCTCCAGGCCGTGGGTGCCTTTCCGCCGGTGCCGGGTACACACCTGCCCTTCCCGCAGCACCGGTTTGCAGATTTTGGACCAGAAATGACGGGCGCAGCAGAGCCCGGCTGCGCAGTCTGATGAGCGTAGGCAGAAGTCACCTTCCTCACCTGTGTGGAGACAGTGTGGCGTGTGCTCAGCCAGGGATGCTCCCACTGGGGACAGCAGGGCAAGGTGGGCAACCCCATGGGGTACAGCAGGGTAGGGTGGGTATCCTGGACTGACCCCACAGGGGACAAGAGGACAGGGCTGGCATCCTGGACTAATCCCTAGGGAACAGTGGGGGCAGGGTGACCAACCCCATGGGGGACAGCAAGGCAGGGTGGGCATCCCAGAC